GGCTCCGGCTCCGGCGCTCCGGCTCTGCATCGGGCAACAGCGGCACCCGGAGTCCCCGCGCCGCCACTGCAGCCAGCCCGCGACCGCCCAGGGCCCCGCGGAAAGCCACGCTCTCCCCAGGGGAGCTCGTCATTCAAGAGCTGCTTCGGAGCAGCCTGGAGGCGTTACCCTGCGCCACCCCCTGCTGTCACAGAAGGTCGCCTCGCGGAAGGAAGGAATCAGTCGCTTTGTCGCGCCTCCGCTTCGGTAAGTCAGGCCTGGGGTTTCTGTCCTTTGCACCGAAGGTGGTGGTACCGTCATAGGGATATGCAGTAGATATATTCGCTTTGGGCGGGGACAAGAAAAGCCGCCTGTCGGCAGCATAGCGAAAGCCCCTCCCTTCGACCTCATTTATCCACCCCAACATGCATCACATGAACATGTACACGCCAGCGTCTGCCTGGAAGCGGCATTTCCTGTACGGTTCAGGCACTGCTCTTGGATTCAGGAGCAGAGCCAGGGGCTGCTTTCGCACCTCAGCCTCGAGAGGTTCGTGTTTGGAAAGCGATGCCAAACTGCAACACAGCTCCTCTGTAAGGTAACTCGCTTTCAAGGCTGAGCCCTAAACCACAGCGGGTCAGACTTCAGGCAGTAAAAGATGTCCTGAAGCGAATCACTGTCAAAGCACTTCACTTCCCCTAGTAAATGTCCGGACATAATGCCGGTGCTTCTCTAACCTGCCATGCTCTAGCGAGGTTTCTGGTACTTCAGCCATACTCGCCTGGCCTCAGAGTAGGCTGTAATCTAAAGGAAAAAATGATACTGCTTCTGCATTTAAGAGAGAGCAGAACATATTTTGCAGGAGCACAAGGGTGATTCCCCACATTTGACAAAGAGCTGCATGTTCGGAATAGAGATGTATTTTAGAGCCAAAAGGTACAGCGCCTGGGAAACAGATCTTATTCCAGCCACAACTTGGAGCTCCCTTGGGCCAGACCGAGGATATTCCAGCAAGCACTGAACTTTTCTCTAGAAGGCCTAGGAAAGGCCTCCGGGCTCAGCAAGCATAAAATTCTTCTCCTAAATTATTACCATGCACAGGAAAAGCTGTACTATAAGCCAAAGAAAGAGCATGGGACAGATTACCAGACGTACTGTAAGCTAAAGAGCATGAGAGGAATAACAAGAGACGTTTCGCACTGCAGGCATGGCCTAAGTGCTCCTCGTCCCAATTGGACGAGGTGGAGGCATTGGACC